AGTCATAGGACCCACATATGAAGAAATCTGCAGTTTCTGTACTGCCCGGTCCCATACCTCCACAAATACCTGGGTTAATGGCCACATAGTTTTATGGGTTGGTCTATTCAGCAATTATATAAGTTACATCACTTTTTAATGATGGAATTTTCCTTTAAAATGTATACATTGTACTAGGTAAAATTGATACTTACGACAAATGTCAGGGGACCGCCAATCAACACATATTCCAACTTCAAGGCAGGCTTGTGCATACGATGAAATAGATGAACAAAAGCCAGAATATTTCCCTTCCATTTCACACACACATGCTTCTTGAACACATTTTTCATGAAAATATGTTGGATCTACCTAAAAAACAGATCATTGTTATAATATGTTAGATTTATACATCTTTGAGGAAGGCTCATGCATACAATGAAATACTGTAAATGAACAAAAGCCAAGATATTTCCCTTCTGTATCACATACACATGCTTCTTTAACATTCTATTCATAATTAAATGCAGGATGAACCTATATAACACTTATCATAATTTGATAGATTTTTATATCTTGTGTAAAATGCACTTTATAGCCATAAAACTAAAAATAAAGTTAGTGTGAACACACCTTCAAAAATAAATATGGAGTGTTTTATAGCAGAAATGTGGAAATGCTATGGGAATTAAACTATTTACATATTTTTAACAAGCAGTAAAAACAAGCCCTCAATGACCTCTGTAGCTGTATGTTAAGAGCTGGTATACAATTCATTGGGTTGGTAAGAAGGTATGGTACAGCAACATCCATATATATGCATGAATGTTTACAGAAGAAAGCTTGAACCCAGGTAACCATATACAAACAACTTAATAAAACAGGTTTTTGAATCACTTGAAGACTAACATTTCATACAAATGTAAATAATAAAACACTATGGCAACATATGTTTATTCCCATATTTCTTAAACCGCCATATACAGTATGTGACCCCATACACCTCTGACTAACTGATAGAAAATGTGAAAGCATTTTTCTTTCTTTTCCTTAGAGTTCTGAGAGGAAAATGCTTTTTTGTTCATTTTCTGTTAGTAGATCATTCTGTTTCTTCCTCCCAGCAGTTAGTTGGCTGTCTGCCAGCCTGCTAATAGCTAATGTAAACACAAAGCATGTACATAGTAACAAGGGAGAGAGCAAAGGGCTGAGACCTGATTTGGACTTCACTGTATCTTTTCTGAACAACTAGGATGCATTTCTACAATGTGTCTGCAACTACAGAGGTCAGAGAGAGATTGTTATAAGTTACTGCTTGTTAAGAATATGCAAATATTTGAAAGCCCATAGACAGGATACAGTTACATAGTATTTGAGGTTGAAAAAAGACACAGGTCCATCAAGTCCAACCTTTGTGTTGGGCATGCGTGCGTATAAGAGTCCCTGTGTGGCCTAGTATTTAAGAATACCTGTACCCCTGTATGTTACACAGGGGTGTATCTACTGCCAGGCAAACTAGGCATTTGCCTAGGGCGGCACTTTCCAGGGGGGGCAGCAGACAACACCACCCCAAACCAATTACGTGGACAGGGCCAGAATTGCCAGTGGGGCAAGGCTGGATGGCACAGAATCAGGCAGCAATGACTGCCTAATGAGGCAATTTAGGTGGCCGCAAGGCCCTAAGAGCGGTTGTCTAATTAGAGAGCTGCCTGGTGGAGGGGAGGACCCAGTGAGTTGTGGTCCAGCTGGCTTTGTACAGGAGGTGGGGGAGAAGCAGCGGGGTGGCTCGGGGCTGGCCATAACATGTGATCTGATGGCGGGATGTCCCAGAAGCAGGCTGGGGGCTGCAATGTATTCTTTAGATTGAGGGGGGTGCCCGAGTTTAGTCTTGCCTAGGGCAGCACAAAACCAAAATACACCACTGATATTACGGTCTCTTAGGATGGTATCTAATTTATCTTTGAACAAGTCAATATTCTTACCAGATATCACTGCTTGTGGCAGAGAGTACAGTTCTACTTTAAAAGGCAGTTTTAAATAAAGCCCCAATCCACCCAGTCACTGGTCATGACAGTAAGTACGTACATCTGGCTTACTCTGAGTTCTGCAGAGTAGGTGAGTTGGTACATCAGATTTTGTATTTACACAAATAATATATAGTGCCACTTGAGGTTATCATACATCTACAGAGAAAAGTAATCTTTCTACCAACCACTGACATTGCTAGGACCAACAGCTCTCCAGGGTGCAATTCGGTTGCAAAATTGTGGCATGCTTTGTGTGTTGCAGTACAATGTATATTGTTTAAAGCAGTGGTTCTCTACCTCCATAATCTCAGGACCCACATTTGTCCTTGGTCATTAAGTCACGACCCAACACCACACTGGAGTGCATGGTATTTCAGTACTGTGCGTTCCTGTGTGGGTGATCGAACATGAGGGCAGGAGGTGCATTTGGGGGTGCCATTCAAATGAACGTGCGGAAGGTGTGATTGCATGGTACAGTGCGTTAATCGCATGGGACTCTGTGATCAACATACTGTACTAGTGTGAATGGGCCCTCAAAAACACTGACATATACACACAACCACATACACAATCTCACACTTACAAACATCTGACACACACATACACACTCTAAAAATAATTATTTTTTTAAGATCCATTTTAATATTCCCTACGGACTTATTTATTTCATCCAAGAATTACAGCATTCTAAAACCATCATCAAAAACACCTAGTAGCATTATAACATCCCTTAAACACCATGGTAACATGCATAAACATATGGTCAACTAAGAACAAATGCCACCCTCATAAAATAGTAAACTAAATATAAACAAAATGACATCTACTACAGTAATAAAGCAACAGTGAATGTCATCACATAAGTAGTGAAAGCTTAAAGGTTGCAGCAAAGAGGAATTAATTGAATTAATCAAAGAAAAGAATACATTTTATAAAAGCTAGAACAAAAAAGAATATATAAAGGGAAATAAGGCCTTAAGCAACTTTAACTGGCATAAAATATTGAGATGAAGCTACTAAAAACAGAGCCACCAGATCTCTGGAAACTTAAAGAAAGTGCACATGGATCAAGAATAAATGAGTGAAATAGCCAAATTTAGTCTAGTCATATTCAGTAAATAGTTGCTGGTTATGTGATTTTCATATATAATTTTACAAATTATATTACATAATGCATCCGGGTTGATGTACTAAAGAAGTACCGGTTGTTCACTTAGTAAAGAGTATCTTACTTTAGCTTAGAAGGTAAGGGTGAACTTTGAATACCCTATCATATGCAAGGGAACTTAAACAAATTGTATTTCTCCTTGATTGGATGATTGAACACAGCTTAATCTAATTTAATAAGCTAAGTAAACATTCACTCATCATAGTGAATAGTCTCTATTCCTTTAATAAATCAACCTCAAGCGCTCTCTCTCTCTCTCTAATAACTACCAAAAGTTTGAATGATTTAAATAGCTGATACCAGCAAAAGTCTCCATATTCATGGGATTTAGTTCTGATGTTTGGTAGACCTGATATATGCATAGTTATGTAAGATGGAGGTCTCAGACCCAGGACACCGGGCAACAGATGTAGGATACATGCGGTGGGTACTAGGGACTAGCGACGCTCGTGTTTTCAACAGAAATGTTACTTCAGAATAAGAAAATAGAAATAGAAAGTAGGCAAATTAAAACTCACTTTTGAATGGCATTCTTTAAATAACACTTTAATTATATCACATCTGTTTTCCGCCCACTCTTTACACTTAGGGTGTTCATCACATGGGGATTGCCGCTCAATTGATTCCTGACATGATGGCTCATCTGCGTAACTGTGTCCTAGAGCCCGTGCTTGAGTAACAATCATGCCATTTCTACCAGTAAAATCATCCCTTTGATCTTTGTTGTTGTTACCACAGAGTCCACGAACTTTTCCCTAAATATGAAAACAATTACAAACAATGCACATATGTGAATCCATTTTTAGCTATGACAGCTTAATTGTATAATTAAGTAAAAGTACTTTTAACAAGTAGTATAGCAAAAACTAATGGTGTAACATATACCTTCACAAAAAGACAGAAAACAAAATCATTGAGTAAAGCTGGGTTAACACCTGCGTGTGGTGGGAATGTGCTTCACATTCGCGCGTGGTTGTGTGTGTTTTTGTGTGTTTGTCACACATCCCCATTGATTTCTGCATTTTTGCTTCCCCGCTTGTGCTTGTTTTCATGCAGAGCAAAAACGCATGTCTTGTTGGCCCTGTTTTCAACGTGTCCACGGAACATGCAGGTGTGAATGGGGCCTAATCTTCAAACAAATGCAGTTTAGGCCCCATTCACACCTGTGAGTTCCATGAAAACATGGCAAAACACAAAATGCACTTGCAGTACCATACTTTTCTATTAGCACATCAAACACGGCCAGCAAGACGCATGTTTTACTCCGCATTTGCGTGCATGAATATGTGCACAGATGCAGAAGCAAAAAATGCTAAAATTAAGCTTCTGAACACTGTTTCAGAAGCTTTATTGAGAAATACCATGTAGAAAATTATTGCTACATGGTATTTACTCTAACAGAAAAGGTTTATCTTATCTGCAGATCAAAGGGGTGACCTTTGATCTGCATATGATGTCAATTAAAGCAACTCACCATTCAAAAGTTTTAAATATAATTTGTTCAAATTTAACTCCTTATTGACCCTTAGCTTCAGGATTTGTTGTTTTGTGAATGTGGTAATACATAACACTACTTGCTGGTGCTATAATGATATACTGTATATACATGAGGGTACAATTTTGCAAACTACACAAACATTAACACAATATAATATCTAAAAACACTTACGGTCCACTGTTGGCTAAGCATCACTTTAACGTCTGTTTTTCTATCCCATAATAAAACAACTTTGTTTTTCAAGGTGATAACTTGATACAAACCAACTTGGACAATCGAGCATGTATCTTCTTGTTTCTCCAAAGAGCAATCATGGGGAATTTCTATTCTGGCTTTCCCATCTTGAAGGATAATTGTAATTTTCTAGACAACATGTAAAAAGGGCTTTTGTTTTAGTAAAAGTATATATTTCAAATAAATATTGTGTTTTCAACTACAGTACTTCAGTGCAGCAAAATTTTACACGGATTCAGCACATTGATAGAGCAACAATAGACAAATGATAAAGTAAAAAAAAAGTTCCTGGGACTGTAATGATTCAAATTGCATATGAAACAGTACTGGCAAATTAATTTTTATTTTTTAAAACTTCTTAAGAAAAACAAATTATTCCAGTTGCATTAATATCTAAAGAAAACAAAAGTATATGCAAAAAATCTCAAAAGCAGGTCAGAAGGAGCATAACAGAAAGAAAGAGCTGTAGTTATGAATGTAACATGTGCAATTTGATACTCATGAGTTAAAGGATTTCTTACCAATTGCCCACAAAGCATAAGATCTGTTCTAATTTCCCAAAAAATCAATTTAATTTTATTATGCCCTTCAGCATTTACGCAATGCTGAAGGGCATAAAGTTTAGTGATAACATAGGAGTTGACTTACACCCACATGCTTCTCTTGCTGTGTGGATACCAACCAAAATACTTTGTGTTCCAAGTATTTGTAATTTAACTCCATACTGACAGCCCTACTATAAACAACATCCTAATGGGAAGGTTCCTGTCCCAAGACAACGTAAAATCTTTGCTAAAAAGTGCCACACTACATAGACCACTCTGATCTCATCTCCTTTGCTTAGAATGAACCTGGAGGTTTACAGCTCTAAGTACTCCAGGTTCAGAGCTTTAGCAGGTGATGATATACAGCGTGAATACAATTTATATCTGACTGGAATGCAATAACATCCCTAAAACGTCTAACACTAATAGCAATCTGAATGTTCATTGGAAAGATGTATGTTAATGGAAACTTACAGAAGTTTGAATAATAACTTTTCTAGAGCAGGTTAGGCCCCCATCACAGCAAGGCTCACTTTGTACTGATATTCTAAATAGGCCATCTTCTCCCTGGATTAAAAAAAGTATCACAATTATTAACTTAATTAAGACTAATTAACAAAAAAGAACAATGAACACAAACCTAAAATGAACACCACTGGTTTACTCATTCAATCATTCAAAAATATTTGTTTATTTTTATTTAAAAATATTTATTTACAATTCACTAAATCACATGAACTGGGGCTCCATTTAGTAAGCTATAATGCATATGTTTGTTGATATAAATGTTTATAATGCATTTACCACAACAATCATTGTTCTTCGCCAATTGACTCTTATTTTCCACTTTTCTTGGCAGCAAATAACAATCATTATACTTTAGTGAATTGAGCCAATAAGTTAAAAAAAATTGAAAAAAGTGCATCATTTTAGGAAAATTGTTTTCCTGTGGGACCTAATTTTAAGTGTCAAGGACTGGATTACTGTAGCCTCAACCATCCTTTCCTTTTCTTTTAGAGACACCTCCCAAATGTACCAAAGTGCCACAGTCAGTCCAGTTAAAAGATATTCATCATTCTATAGGCGCAGCCATCATAAATACTTCTCTAACTGGTCTAATGCTGTATTTTTAACACGTTGCTTAAAACTTGTTAGTCCCATTCAACTAGACTATAATTTAAAAGATGTTTTGCTGCTTACCCAAGGTTCAAAAGATTCTAGAACAAGACTGGTTCAGAAGATTATAGAACAACAGTTCAGAAGAATATAGAACAAGCCTAGCTGAATGTGACTAACTACTACCTGCTATAACATGATATGATAATTGAGAACCTTTACAGACTCCTTGCTAACCATACTCCTTTTGCAAAAGCATTCTGCATGATAAGTGTTTATCTTCCATTTCCTTGAAATCCTCTCATTCTGGTTGTGGTCCATTAGCGACCATGAAAAATTTGGAAAATTTGAAACATTTTCTATCGATCAGAACCGGCAGCCAGTGAGCTGCCCGCTCTGATTGAATATTCTGACAGGTGTCGGTGGCATTGAACCGCAGGTTGAACGAAAAAAATTGATAGGTGTATGGCCAGCCTTAGTTTTCTGCTGCAGAGAGTGATGCCCGACCAAACCCAGTAAACCAAACCTAGATTCTGCATACTCTCCCCTTGGAGGATGCTTTGCATCAAAAACCATGTTCCCTAATTCGCAAGATCCTAACTTTAGAAACTTCTGCTTATTTTAAGGTTTGCTGCTGCAGGAAATGTGACTATATTTGAAAAGATTGTCTGTGATCTCCTTAATTTAAGGGTAAGTGCATAAAAACAGTAATACTTTTACACTTTGCTCTTTCCGGATTTAGCCTCCACGCATTATTCAGATAGTGGTAGTAGCAGGCCATTTTACCAAGGTACTTTAATTCTACTGCAGTGAAAAATGGTGTGCAAGAGGGAAGCAGAAACAAAATACCAAATACGTTAAGAAGAATGCAATGTGGGTGCAATAGTACAGTCAGGAGGTGCAGAAAGCTTTTAAAGATGTAAAAATTAATTTTGCATTCTTAACATTTTGTCAGCTTTCTTTAAAGCGTATGTAAATCCAATAACTTTATATATTGCAGTTTACCAGTCATTCAATGTGGTGGATAAATTCGTTTATTTTTTCAGACTCCTTTTATTTACAACTCGTGATTCTGCCAATGACATTGCAGCGTACATATCCTTAGCTGTGGTGACTACATTAGTTTACTTTTTCAGGTATTTTTGTTCTTTATTTTCAAGTGGAGATTTTGCCAATAACACACTTCCTGTCCTAGGGTGACAAAGCTTACTCATTGGACTATGGAGGAGCAGTGTTGTCAGACTATTCTGCTCTTCTGATAAGGGCTCCAAACACCTCCCGCTGTCCTCATCTCTATTGCATACAAGGCAGTTGTTTCCCAGAGGAAGGATGAGAAAGCTAATAACATTGATTTTAGTTAGGGTCTCCAAGAAATTAAGACACAAATTTTCTGACAGGATCAACAGGTGTTTTCTGTGCTTAGACTTACAAATGAAAACTAGGCAGCCATGGCATCTAAGAATTTGTAAGCTGCAATATATTACATATCTGTTCTTGGGTTTCAATATTCAGTACTTTAAATATATTTAGAGGGTTATTCACAGAAGAGCCGAAGGATCCAGGCGTAGCTTTGGCTGATCCTTCGGCTCGCTTCGGCTGCCTCTGCCCTTCAATTCAGTCGAACCGAAGGGCTGTTGTAAGGGCTTTTCACAATAGCCTGTACAGCAGCTGAAGGCAGCCGAGCAGCTCAGCCGAGGGCATATGCTTCGGCTCGACTGAGCGCAAGTGACAGCCAAAGCGGGGAGAATGGCCTGCCGAAGGGCTGGCCATTCTCCACGCACATGACAGCTGGGTGGAGCCAGCCGTGATTTCACAGTCGACAGTTGTAATGACAGATCAGAGTCACCAAATGACCTGGGGATGCTGATCTGTCATTAAACAACAACAACTGGAAGGAGCCGGCCGTGATGTCACAGCCAGCTCCACCAGTTGTTATTCATTGGCCGGGACTCTGGCCAATAGGTAACAGTTAGGCCGAGCTAGCTGCCCAATTGTTATTTTTAATTTATTTTTTAGTTTCTTTAAAAGAAATTTTATTTTAATTATTTTTCATTGTCCTATTTAACTTTTTTAAATAATTTTTCAATGCTTTTTAATTTTCCATTAATTTCACTTATTTTCTATTCTGCTCAGTACTTCGGCAGCATTTGGCTACTCATTCACTGCTGTTCGGCCCCTATGAGAAATAGGGGTGGACGGTAGCGAGTGAGCTGCCAGAGCTTCGACTCAGCCGATCCAGATGTTGGATTGGCTGAGATGAAGTCCCTCTGCACTTCAGCTCAGTTGATCCAACATCTGGATTGGCTGGGCCAAAGCTCTGGCAGCTCACTCGCTGCCGTTCGACCCTATTCTCATAGGACCTGAAATCAGCCATACTGAGCCGAAGTGTATAGCCAAATGTCATTCAGCTCACTTCACTTTGGCAGGGTTATTCACTTATAACATTAACAGGGTTAAGTCACATATAAAGAAATGTAAAAAAAAAAAATGTTTAAGTCCCTCACCCCCACATATATGCATATATAAACGTAAATACGTGTCGGGTGCGCCAACGCACGAAAGCAGCAATTGCGGTACACATGTTACATATCGATGCGAACGTCGGACTGAGAGTAATAATTTTAGAGCCATCAGTCACTGTTAACACTAAACTGATGAGCGGTAAAAGCTTGTAAAGTGTCACCTAAGGCCAATATTGGGTATTGTCGTTTTTTGAGGTTTCGCGGGTGCGCTCAATTTTAAGGCTTGGCATGTTTGGTGTCTATTTACCAGATTTTATATTTTACCAAAAAAAAGGTATTAATAAATGTTTCATAATTTAATATAGGGGAAACAGTTTTTTTCTCAAATTTTACAGTAATTTTTCCCTAATACAGTAAAAAAATAAAAACTCCAGTGGTGATTAAATATCACCAAAAGAAACCTCTATCTGTCCCCAAAAAATGGTATAACATTAATTTCAGTACAACATTGCATGACAGACCTGGACAGGAAGGAGGTTTAACACCTCGATCAGCAAGTAGTTAATGAAGTTAATGAGGAAAAAAATCCTCAAATTTCATTCCTAAGTCTTTCTATAAGGACAAATCGCTGTGAAAGTGCTCAGAAAAAAAATCTGGATCATCTATCTTGCCTGGTGCAACAAAACATCTAAAAGGTAAAAACACATTGAAAAAAATATTTTTCACTATGCTGTCTGAATGGTAACACATAACAAACATATAGAGGGGTTTTCTCAAATATGACTGCAAAAGTGGGAATACATTTTAAAAGCCTTTACTGCTCATCTATTTGGAGTCAACAGCAAATGATGGCCCAATAATTGTTGCTCTAACTCTGACGTTCACAATGATTTGTGAGGATCGGCTGATCTCCTTCCGATCTAGGCGAAGAGACGTGGCGTGTCGTTCCCGGACCCGCACGGGGGACAGCAGAGCCCAGGATAGCCAGCAGCAGTTGTGAAGGCAGGGGACACACACTATAGAGCCGCCTGAATCCTTGTATGCATCTTGGTATGACCAGGCCAGGACAGCTCCCTGTACATATGTACAGCAGTCCTGAAGTGGTTAAACTGGATAAAAATGGTGCTGACCCTAGCGTATGTCTATCTTTTTATAGTTTTTTATATATTTATGTTTTATGTACTTTTTAATTTGGCCTTAGCATTATAAAGACTAATTGGTATACAAAAAAACATGTATACTCACTTCTACCAATGTATATTGACACAGTCCATCAAAACTATACGGCAATCCATCAAATGTTACAATGTGTCCATTGCCATGAATAGAGCAAACACTCTTACAATTCTCTTCTTCACAGTTCCAATTTCCTTTGATGCAGTCACTATAAAAGACACAGTTTCAAGACCTGTTACTAAGGTCAATAATTGCCAGAACAGAAATACAGTTACACTTTCTGACAAGCTAACACATTAACTTTGAAAATCTTTTTGCTGTGCTCTAAACAGCATCTACAAAATAAAAACACATAGAATGTCTGTTTTAAAACACAATCACTTGGCAATTTTGCAGGCTGAGAAGACTCATATGCACAGTGTCTCAAAATTATTTTACTAACTAGATGTTATCTGAAAGGCTATAAACAAAATGAGAGGTTTTTTTTGTTTTTTTAGAATATCATAGCTATCATTGCAGTGTTTACTATTGTAGCTTGCTAACTGACTGTAGCTTACTAAATTATTCCAGTACTAAACGTTTATATGAAATCATTTACACATTTAGATGACATTTTAAGGGTGATTTTTTAAAAATAAAATTAAGGTGAAAAGACCACACAGAAAAGCCACTGGGATACCCTGAAAGGCTGATGACAAAGATAATCCTACAAACTGGATCACATGAACAGATCTGGTTCACTACTAGCAGAAAAGCTTTTTCACAGCTTCTACAATGTTGCAATATACAAAAAAATGCATACCTATTAAATTGCAGAAGGATGGAGTAACTGTGGACCTAAAGTCAATTGCTTTCACTTTGATTATTAAAGAATTGTTGGCTTATGCACATTCACCTACTTTTCTTCAGCCTTAAGTGAAGACAAACTTACCACTTTTTGCAATTGCCGGAGAAAGAACTTCCACTCTCATACTCGATTCCTCCATAAAGACAGGGGCATTCATCTTGTGGAATACACTGTCCCCTCGAATTTCTAACCATACCATCTGGACAGAAACATCCAGATTTGCAGGTTTTATCTTGCTGCAAAAGAAGCAACCCTTAAATATCATGACACATTTGTTGTTCAAATATCTCCCCAATTTAGTTAAAAGTTATGTGGAATGAGACTGTAACATTAATTCACTTTTATTAATTTTTCTTATCTGGTATTTGATACTGTATTTAAAGAGTAATACCATCCAATACTTTCTACACCAAATGAAACACAACAAAATAAATATTTACACAACTTACATGCATGGATGGCAAGTGCATAGTCTTGCAGCTTAAATCCTCTCTTGCTTGTGTGTCGGGATATGTACAAGATGCATATTTTGCTCCCCCTGAACACATATCTGAAATCGTATACACAAACATACATATATAAATCAAGGGACATTTTATTGCCTTATAGAGTTATTGTTGCATTGACATACAATTGGTATAGACAGTGTCACAATTGAGCTACTAGTATTTCTGCATGATTTAGTTCACCCAAACTTGTATGAAATTATACAATTTAAGCTTCTTTAAAAAACGTGAAAATTAAATTCCTTAAACTAGCACATTGAGACATAGGCACTACTACTGTATGGGTTCTTGCACAATGAGTAGGAGTTAAAAAACCACACAGCTGGGTCTGACAATCCAATTTAAATCAAAAGGAAAATGTCCATAATAACCTTATGTTAAATTGTGGTTTCTGACATTTTTAATTCTATCATATGTTGAGGTAAGTGAATTAACCAAATAGGCAGAAACAGCAGTCAAGTCAGTTCAGTGTAGAGACATTACAGCAGGCATAGTAGCCCTTTCAGCTGCAACAGGGAATGGTTTTAAATAGGGGATAGAATCCAAATTCTCAGACTGTGTGCTTTAAACATGCATCTACTGCTCAAACCTTTACACAGGCATGATTATTTATCATTATGAAAATGTGTACATTTGATTGCATTTGACTTGTGAACAGTCCATGTTAATAATTTTGTAAGTTATAGAGATTGTATTTCTTTATGTTTAAGTTGAATTTCTTTTTTTTTTAATTAAAAGTTAAAGTTAAACTGATATTAATAAGAATAGGGGACCTAATGTTATACCATTTACCACACATAGCTCAGAATAATTAAAATAAGTGTACTAACTAGGGGTTTGATCTGAGCCCTAAAAAATCCCAGTTATCTGTCTGATTAGTTAATGAAAATATTTAGCTTAAAGGATAACAATATTTCTAATTTTGTTGGGGTTACCTGATCACTCTCACCCTTCTAATTCCATATACAGAGCCCAATACTGACCTCAAGTCAGTGGAGAACCTTCTCCGCAGACCATGTTCTATACCAGCTCAGATTGCTCTTTCATCCTCTGCATTTGCAGGCGAGCCACAGCATACTGCACATGCAAGGCCTTTTATTCAAAGACCATAATGGAGAAGCAAGATCCCCATTAGAATCTTTGCAAAAAAAGCCATGCATGTGTAGTATGCCATGGCCTGCCAGCTCAGTAAAAAGGATGGAAGAGCCTCTGCTTTTAGTATAGGCTGCAGCCTATGGAATAGGTTGCCTTCTGAACTGAAATATACCGTGGGCACTACATATGGGAAGTAAAAGGCAAAAGGGATGGTTAACACCAACATAGTTGTAGGTCTTTGTATTCTATATTAAAAAGACTTAACGAAAAACATTTATATTATTGGACAGAGACAAAACAAATCCTCACCTCTGGTTGTATTACCACTTAAATCACATTGAAATCTTCCTCCATGGCACTTGCTAAAATAAAATTTGGCATGTTATTGACAATTATCTTTAGTGACACTTGTGTATAATACTTTCTTTGCTTTGAATCATTGTATAAATTCTGCTGATTATCATTTTCCAAATAGCTATTCAAAGAAGGGACATTTCACATACATTTTATAACAGACGTCTTACCATTGTTTCCCATCTAGTTCAATCTCTGTGTGTGCTGGTATTACACCATATCGATGTTGGCAATCACAGTCTTCCTTAGAGACACAAATGTTTTCACTATTCAAAAATTGGTCTTTTTCACATGTACACATTTCCACTAAAAGGCCTTGATCATCGCAAATACGAGATGTTGAAGTGCAAGATGGGAAGCAGGATAAAGATGTAAACTGGAGGACCTGGTTGTTTATGCATTCTTTTTCTGTAAAAGTGCAAACAAAAAGGGCATGTGAGTTATATATGAATGATTTTTTTCAGTATCCAGTATTTGGGTTGAAGAAGGATAAAATCAAATTTAGTCTGTTGCAATTCAAATACTGTTGATCTGAAAGACAGAAATACAAAAGCCTATTGTGACAGGTCAAATGTATTTTTCTTTCTGAAATGTTTTTCCCTTAACCTCATTAGCAAAATTCAAATACATTTCTTTGATCAATCACTTCACCAAGTGACCCAGCTAATTATAGTGGTATGTGCAATTTTTAGTAAGAAAGATGTCTATAATAGGTCCACAGACCTAGGGGGTTATTCACAAAAGAGTGAAGAGTTTGGAGAAGACAGGTGAAATGAACGATCTAGGACAACATAACTGAACTGGTAAGTGAGCTGAATTGGAGAATTTTTCCAAATCAGCTATTTTGGCCTAGATTGTTCACTTCTTCTGTCTTCTCCAAACTCTTCACCCTTTAATGAATAACCCCCTTAATCCACATGTAAAATAACTTATATCCTAGTACTCTCCTTCGCAGAGAATTCCAAAATTAAATAATCCATTTCTATGATGATAACAAAATGGTTGTGGTTGTTTTCAATTCTTGAATTAACTTTCCATTTTATATGTACAGACCAAGCAGTGAAAAGCTTAATAGTTATATATACTGTCCTCATATACTTAAACATATTTCTTTTATCTCTTCTGACACAATCTTTTTTTCCCCAGGATAAACATACTCAGCTTTGCTTATCCCCCATTAAAAGTTACCTGTTCTAGAACTACTATGTTCTTCTTTTAGACAGGGACCCAAAATGGTGCAGCTGGTTGTACTGTGAAGAGGTGCTGTAAAAACTACCGTATACTTGTTTTTTTTAGCCCTTTTTCATAAGGATTTATGAATTAATTTTGAATTAATTGTAACATGGAGCATTGTCATAAATTTGCTCAAATCTTGTGCTACCCCAGATGAACCCATGTTTTAACACTAAACTTCAGAGAGAAAAAAATACAGCGGATCCAGTTGCCTTGAATAATTTTACCATGACCTGGATGAATAAGAACCTTTACAGACATAAACTTAAATATAATAAACTAACTTTCTGATGTGTGCAATTTCAAATGCACATTTATTATTGTTAGTGTTTATGAAGTAGTTAGTTAATATATACAACATCCTGTCTGCAAACAATGGAAACTAAAGTGCACATGACTGATAAACAGATTAAGGACCCTTTCAGACCATACTGCACATAAACTCTAATTGAAAATGCATGTATGCATGACATCCATTGTCGAACGTCTTTCAGTCCTGTTTCCTGGAAGGGTCAAAATAATAGATTTTTTTTCTTTCCTTTTTTTGCTGTGCTTTGCACTTACATGCATTCATCTGCAATACATTGCATTGAAATTTATACATGCTGCATTTCCTGCAATTCAGTGCAACGCATATCTCCACAGCATTGTGGTGTAAACAAGGCACATAGAAATCCATTGTTTTCTATGTACCCTTTTTTTCTATGTGCCCTTTTAGTGACCTGCATTGATCTGGTGGGTAAAAAAGCAGGTCACTGCACATGGTTTAAACTGACTCTAACGGCCTATTCACACCATAGCATTGCGCTAAATGTGCAGGATCCATACCTTTCAAGCATGCTATCACACAGCACATGGTACTATACACTAGGCGTGCAGGTGTGTTAAGTTTCCATTCATTCTTACCAATACCCAAACACATCTCCCAGTGGGCATGTGCAGCAGTGCCGCCCAATGCACAGTGCCACAATAATGTATGTTGCATTACGTTGGTCTGAATGAGCCCTAAGTGAAAGGCTGATGGTTTGCAGACTATACCCATTTGTGGCAGGAAAGTGTCAGCTGAGTTTTTAAAGAAGACCTATGGCTTATTGGCTTTCTTTATCAATCTACCTTCATTTATGGTCAAACTGTGGCTACTGACCAGAAGAAGGGCCAAACTGTAAGA